GAGCTAAAAACTAAACAGCGATTTTCGTTTTGTAGCGATCTGAGACATCCAAAGAGACAACCAAGAGACAACCAAGTAACCTGCAAGTAACGTTTTATTGATAATTTCCAACGATAAAGACGGAAAACTGAGCTGCGTCGATCGACTGAGCTAAAAATAAAAATCCATGTGAGGCAACGTTTAACCAAAAACAATTCACCAGAAAAGATCATAAGAAGGGAGCTTCTAGAAACTGATTTCAGTAACTTCCGTGTTGAAAGAAAGAGAGATACATGTATTGGAAACTGCGGAAGAAAGTAGAAATTAGATCAATAAATCGATACCGCGTATATTATATTATCAGTAAACACGAACAGTGAAATAAGTATTTTTTAAACTTTTTAAAATCTGTCTTAACTTCTTCAGCTCTTACTGTGATGCTGACAAGCGTTTTGGATATAAATTCCTCATCAGGACAGCTGGTTTTGAGATGAGATTCCCCACAAAGATATTTCTGCTCTGACTTCGCGAACAGGACCGAGAAATTATGTTCAGTTACGAAGTATTTACATTTCTTTGAAAATTTTCTTAAGAGATCTTGACAATGTGTGCATTACTTTGGTGTTTTCAATCAATATTTCAGTTAGACAAAAAATTGTAATTACGAAGTCCGTCTATCCCGTTTGCTACGAAACAGAGACTAAATACGAAATATCTCTAAGCGATAATAAGACCTAGCCTACGTGAATATTATATATTTAATAGACACTAATGTTTGATAATGTTTGAGACAGACAATGTAATATAATGATTATTGAAGATAAAGAGGATAATTTCCCTCCCCGACATCCTAATTCAATCAAACATTTTTTACCTTATACAATCATACCTTATATTATACAAATCATACCTTATACCTTATAGTATACAATCATACCTTATAGTATACAATCATACCTTATATTATACAAATCATACCTTATATTATACAATCATACCTTATATTATACAATCATACTTTATAGTATACAATCATACCTTATATTATACAATCATACCTTATATTATACAATTATACTTTATATTATACAATCATACCTTATATTATACAATCATACTTTATATTATACAATCATACCTCATAGTATACAATCATACCTCATATTATACAATTATACCTTATATTATACAATCATACTTTATATTATACAATCATACCTCATATTATACAACCATACCTTATATTACACAATCATACTTTATATTATACAATCATACCTCATAGTATACAATCATACCTTATATTACACAATCATACCTTATATTATACAATTATACTTTATATTACACAATCATACCTTATATTATACAATTATACTTTATATTACACAATCATATCTTATATTATACAATCATACTTTATAGTATACAATCATACCTTATATTATACAATCATACTTTATATTATACAATCATACCTTATATTATACAATTATACTTTATATTACACAATCATACCTTATATTATACAATCATACCTTATATTATACAATCATACCTTATATTACACAATCATACCTTATATTATACAATCATACCTTATATTATACAATTATACTTTATATTACACAATCATATCTTATATTATACAATCATACTTTATAGTATACAATCATACCTTATATTACACAATCATACCTTATATTATACAATTATACTTTATATTACACAATCATACCTTACATTATACAATCATACTTTATATCATACAATAATACTTTATAGTATACAATCATACCTCATGTTACACAATCATACCTTATATTATACAATCATACCTTATATTATACAATCATACCTTATATTATACAATCATACCTTATATTATACAATCATACCTTATATTATACAATTATACTTTATATTATACAATCATACCTTATATTATACAATTATACTTTATATTATACAATCATACCTTATATTATACAATCATACCTTATATTACACAATCATACCTTACATTATACAATCATACCTTATATTATACAATCATACCTTATATTATACAATCATACCTTATATTATACAATTATACTTTATAGTATACAATCATACCTTACATTATACAATCATACCTTACATTATACAATCATACCTTTTATTCTCGACGGTGAGCTATGGCCTGGGAACACTATTGCCTTTTACCTTAGGTAGTAAAATTATGTTTCAAAGAAAAAGATATGCTTGAAAAAACGTATGGCGAATCTGTCTCTTTAAACCAGTGAGAAGTATGCCAGGGCGAGTCACAAGAAAGCCAGATACCAAGGCTACAAACGAATAGATATGACAATAAATAACCTGCAATTTATCATGATGATAACTTCATTAACAAGTAGGATAATTTACTCTCATTCTAACCAGGTTCAATGATCGTTTAGTTAATTATCTCCCCTTATTAATCACCCCATTGATCAGTCTATGCTCCGCGGTTTCTTGAAGTCCGAAACTCGAAATCGATTCCATGCTTTAGTTATAAGAAGTGAGTTAGAATTCATTCCTACTCAACCACGATGGCCTCGGTTTTTAGTGATCAAAAACCATATTCCTGACTTTGAGTAAATAGAAATGTACTTCTTCTGTTTCTTCTTCTGTGTTTTGATACTTCGTAGAGTTCTTCTTCTGTAAAAATTCTTCTTCTGTTCATTTTCTTCTTTAAAGGGAAGAGCGACATGCTCTAATAGCTTTATCTGTGCCTTCTTCGATCATTTTTGAAGATTTTTTGTATCTGTGGGTTGTTGTCTAACCAATCATTCTTAGACGAGCATCCAAAGCTTGAGCTGGTTTCGGACTAGGTTTGTATGAGTCAAGGACACCCACTCTACTGTTAATGATATAAAAACCAATAATGGAAGCCATAGAACTCTGCGATATTCTTGCCTTTTATGTTCTTTTTGTAGCGCTGTTGGGGAAATTGGATTAATCTAATTGTAAGACTCAATACAGGTTTTTAATAATAGGTTATCTTATAACGAGATTAAAGTATGGTGTCTATTTCTTGGGGGATTTGCTGCTTCACAGGTCGACGAGTACCAAATACCCAAAGCAGACGCTTTCTCTACAAAGAGTGGTGGAGGGGGGAGGGTGCGGCATGACAATCTCATCTATAGAAAAGCCAATGGATGTAATTGCCACAAAAATATGTGTTATCAGGGTCGTTACATGGAATCTATTATCACAGTATGTCTAACTTTGACTTTTTATTAAGCTTTGACAATGTATGACATTTATATAGCCAATTAGATGGTGCAACTTTGTCCAAATGGTGATGGTAAAATTTGGTTTACAGGTGTGTCAACTCGACATCCCTTTCAGTCCACCAGGTTGATAAAATTTATGTGGTATATAGATCGGTCGCCTCGGCATCCTCTTCAGAGAGTTATGGTAGAAATGAGGTTATCTCTAACAGGGAAAGATGATATGAGATGAGGAGAATAACGCTGTCTCTGGGGAACATGGCTAACCGAGATCTACTGATTAATATAGAACATCATTTCAACAGTCGTTGACCTAATATTGAACATTCTTCTAAATTAGAAGGATTGGGCACATTGCTTTTTTAAGACTATATTGCCTCATCTTCACATTGTCAAGCGCCGTTACTTTTACCTTGACTGCAATAGTCACCTTTCTTGTATCAGGGATGTTTGAAACTGGTGCTATTTGATTTGATTGGATTGCGAATACAGCCAAATCAGAGCCTTGGCAGAAAATCTGTGAACTCAAAGCTATATTGTTTACATCCTTTCTGTCGAGTGCTCCGATTGGCTGCATTTTCTGGTGTACAATCTAATAAAATCGCCGCACAAACTTCTTTGACACTAAAATTGTTGATATTAAAGTCAAGATATACGCAACGAAGTTCGTTATAGCTTGACACTGTGAATGAAGATGCTTAGGTAGGAATAGACGATGTCCGTTGCGGTGTACGGTGCGGGATGATCGTTATAGTAGAAAATAAAAGAAGTGAACACACGTGTTACGGGTCCGGACACGATGTGGACACGATTCGCTTCTATTATATTCTACTGTATCGATAATCCCGCACCGTACACCGCACCGGACACCGTACATCGTCTATTCCCACCTGTAATGTCTAAGGTGGGAATTTTCACAGGTACACTTTATTCCGACCATAACCTCCCCACCCCCCTCTAGGGGCCTGCTATAGAATTGTGTAAGAAGTCGAGCTGTTCTCCCTATATGTTTAAGACTGTATAATAAATTTGTTTTGAGGTTTGTCTGTAAATTCCTGGCTTATCAGACTATAGAAACATTTTTTCTGATCCCAGACATTCTGTGAGATAATACTGACAGGTTTGGGATAATGTTATTAAAATTACATTACATTTCTAGTTTTCTCATATATTTCTCCATTCGGCAATCTTCGGAAGTTTCCGTAAAACATACAGCAGAGCGCTGGTTGAATATTTTTCGTCCACAGTCCTGTTCTAATGACGCTATATTCAACCAATCAAAGCCTTCTTTGAAGGGATACAACCGAGGTTTTTAATCTTTGTGTGTGACGCCTATAACCATTTGATTTAAATGGATGTTAGGCTTCTATTATCCTTTTAGGTTTTCCTGGGATAACAGGAACCACAGACATCGGGAGGCAAATAAGATTGTTGGCCTTGGTTACACACGATATTTCCTTGTCGACAAGACGTACAATATACACCCGGGAGAAGAAAGATGAAGGCAGACTAACCTCTAGTTTGAGGTATATTTGAAGGGATTGTGCGAGTAAAGTAAACCTAATCTGTAATCTGGACCCCCCCTGGTGACTGGTGTGTTCGCTTATCGCTTCACTGCGAGGCTTTAGATGGAATGGCAGACCAGTTTACCTCATCCTTTGACAACGCTGATCTCCTTGGAAACATGCTTTATGTTATTCCTTAATTCTCTGTATAGTCCAAAGAGCTGTCGCTATAGGTTTGTAAAAATAGGAAACACTTAGTTGAAAATGGAATAAATATTTATTAAGTTAATTAGAGAAATAAATTAACAATAAGTTAAAATCAAAATCAAGTCGAGGAAATAGTCTAGTTAGTTTGATTCGTTTCTATCAACGACATTGCACGACTTTAAATTGAATTTAAATGTTTTTTCACTGAACTGTCTCTTTCATTTCTCGTCTCTGGATTTCAATTTAAACTGATGCATTATTGGTATGTCTTTGTTTTCAATCGATATTGGCTTAAAAATCTTGTGACTGGAACTTAGTAATACGATACTACGTATGGTATCACACATTTCCATGTAGTAGTATGGTCTGGAGCTTAACCTGAAGAGATAGCATTTGTATCACAAAATAAAGATTTCTTATTACTTCCTGGCTCCTGGCATGTTGTATCGCTCTATATAATCTTCTTGGTAGCATTTTCACCTAATCTTAGCTTGGGTGTAATGGTAGGTTCAGCATATTTCCATATTATTTTTTGGGGGTCAAATTTCACGTTAAAGTCGCTTTAAGTTGATTTCAGTGTCCCGATCATCGGATTGGTCAATTACTTGAATTGTTGAAATAACCAATCAGATATTGTATTTCCTAGAATCTGATTGGTTAAAAACTAAATTCAAGTATTTAATTATTGACCAACCAGGTTGCTACATTTCATAAAATCTGATTGGCCAATCACTGAAATCGAATGTCACATGTAGTTCTATTCACCAATCAGATTACTGTATTTCCATAAATCTTCATTTTTTGTTGTCGTGTTTTTCTGAATTTCCGGAATTAGTTAGTAGGACCATCCATGATTTTTTGGATGAATTCTTCGTATTTGATGTTTCCTTCCAAATCCTCTCTTGTGTCAGTAAATTTCAGAATTTCGTCGACTTCAGCATCAGTCATTCTGTCGCCAAGGGAAACCAAAACTTGTCTCATCTCAGCAGACGAGATGAAACCTTGACCTTCACGATCAAAGGTTTTGAAAGCTTCTTTGAAGTCTGCGAAGGTGCCAGTATCTTTGAGTGTAGTGGCACTTTCGTAGATAGGTAAAAATTCTTCTAATTTGTAAGCCTTCTCACCCATAGCTTTGGTACCACCATTTTTCTTGACGAAGGTTTCAGTCGGGTTGTAGCCGAGACATCTCAACATGTCGCCGGTTTTGAATGCATCGACGTCACCGTCTCGGCCATCCCAGAAATCAAAAAGATCGAAAACTTCTCTGATATCTTCAACGGTGTCTTTAGAGAGGGAAGACATGATTGTACTGTAGTTGTTGTCAGTTCGAATGTTGAGAGAACACTGACTGATGGAGGCGGATTCGAACCTTTATAATCCTGATGTCGTATCATCCCGATGCCGTGCCAACATGGGGTTAATTGAAGCCAGAGATACCCTGGTAGTTAAAGATGTAATAATCTGTATATTATCATATCAACTAATCGATATTACCTAACTGTTTATCTATCAGTCTTTACCAGCCGAACCAGATGTCCGAAACCTGACCTTAATCTACTAACGTAGGACTTCTAGCCTAGTCACTGACACCCAGACTTCTCTTGTCCACGACGTATACAAAATGGGACTGGATGATAGATGCTACCTCTAACCATTCTATAACATCTCTCAGAGGCTAGCTAATTAGTTTCGGACTACAATACCAGACGTCCCAATCGACTAAAGATTGACCTCTAATCGTTCTATAACATCTTTCAGAGGCAAGCCAGGTTAACTGGGTTTCGGACTACCATATCAGATGTCTTAAAAGAGTCGTATCTATTGTATCTATCAGCTTTTGACCATTTTTGGACATCACCTCTCAATCCCTGTGTTATTTTCTCTCTCTATTTGCGGTTTGACCTATGTCCGGTTTCGTCATATTACTCTAGCATTACTGTCAGATCATATCTGCCTGGTATCCATCAAATAATCAAACAGCATGCATAAATCGGTCTATTTAATGAATTATCTTGATATAATGGATTAAAATTGGTTTGTTCTTGCTAAACTGTATCTAAGGGGTATTTTATTTTATCTTTAATGATCCTTTTTGAAAATTTAACAGATACAAAAATTGAGTTTTATCATCAAGCCTCAACCTTAATTTAAATCAATACCCACTTTTCACTTTGAGTCACTATTGAGTTCTTTATTGAACGACTCTCTGTTCAAGACGTATTACGAAATGATACTATCAGTTTTGGTCAAAACGCTCAGAAACCAACAATTCATTTAAAGAAATGAATAACGATTCTTGAGGGGCGAATTTTTGATAACTGATAAAAATCTCATGAGAAAGCATGGTCCCCTCCACAAGTTCAATTATAAAGAGAATTTATGGTACTATTGAAAATATGTAATATAGACTGAAAGAATTAGAAATCCACAATTTTATTGGAGGAATGTATGAAGATTGTTGAATTGGTTGTTCTTTATAGGCGTATCATAGTTGGTAGTTATTAAATATTTAACAAAAATCTTGAAATATCCCACGAGAAAGCAAGCGACTTGTTGAAAGAAATATGTAAAGTTTCAGGGTCAGGTTAAACTGTAACAGAAACTGTGATTTAGAATTCTGAATGAGTTTCTGTCTAGTCGATCCTTATCAGACACAGGATCAAATAATGTAAGTCACGTTTACGATTGATGGTTATTCCAGATATTGGGCGATATTTCTTACCTGATGAATACAGACTAAACACAGGACAAAACATTGTTATTAAAGGATTTTTCTAAATTTGTTATGTGTATCAGGGACACTGATAGCATCAATTTGCATCATTCGAATTTTCAATCAGACGTCTGTGTGGTTCATGCAATTTCACTAAAACCAAGTGCTTGATGACGTCGCTAATTGCCAAGGGCATTATGTTTTAAAAGCAGTGGCGGAACCAGGTTTACGTCCGAGAGGGGAGGTGAATATCTGAGATTCTAACCTAGTTATGAGATTTTTGCCCGAAGAACATGCTTTCAGGGCTAAGAGAGGTGGGGGGGGGAGGGGGGGGGCAACTGCCCCTTGGGCTCCGCCGCTGATTACAAGCATATTTTGCGCTTCAAACACTTATTTTTTGTTGAATTGCAAGAACTACACAGACGAGTGGTTGTACATTGGAATGGTGCAAGTTGATGCTATAAGTGTCACCGACTCACATAGAGAGAATTTAGAAAACCTCTTTACAATCCCTTTAAAGATACATTATACCTCGTCAAAATACGTTTTGAACGTTTTGAGGCTAAAGTCTAATAATCAAAGAAATAAATCGAGTTAAGCCAAGTTTGATTAATTTGTAAGAGATTAGATTAACATTGAACTGATATATATCATGATTAATTATTGATCATGCTGAGCTAATAAAAATCTCCCACTGTAAACAGTGACGTGGGCTAGTGTTTGTATGTGGGTACGTGTATATCTACCCCATACAAATCTTTGGCTTGAATGATGGATTCTTGTGAATTGTTTTTTTTTTTTTTAAATTCCTGTAACTATGACTTGAACCAGTGGCAGCTACAAAGGCCCTAGTATAAAAGGAATTTTGCCCCGCGCCCCCTCCTGATCTCCCTTAGAATAATTCGAAATTAATTTGGCAATGGCCCCTTCCAAAGCAAATTTCTGATGCCGCCACTAACCTGAGCTAATGCCATTTTGGGGAGAGGGTGGTCTTGTATAGGCTCCTACAATTTAAACAAAAAAATAAGGAAAGTTTTCTATACGAAATATCCTCGTAAAATTTCACAGATTTAAATGATCTAGTGGAAAATTACAACTGATTGCGTTAAGAAAATCAATATACATTCTATAGAATCTTGATAACACAAGCTGCATTTTAACTTCAGATAAACCTAGGTATGATTTATATCTTGTGTGTTCAGAAATTCTTACTTTGAAGTTTTTATGAAAGCCGCGAATACACGAGGTACGATGTTCCATGCGGTGTACAATGCAGGAATATCCATAGAGTTGAAAAAAGATGAAATGAACACGTGGGGTACGAGTCCGGATACGGTGCCGACACGATTCGATTCTACTATTTTCCGTAAAATTTGTCAGGAAAACGGCATTAGTCATCTTTTCTCTATTTTTTAACATGTACAGCCTGTAGCACACGGGGTCTCAGATTTTTGTAGCCAACTTGACAATATAAGATGAAGCTGTATCAAGTCACGCAGGCAAAAATAAAAAAAATAAAATGAGTTGCTTCAGAAATTTTCGGTATATCAATTCACAACACTAACAGTTTTAAAACAGGATTTCCAATACCTCAATATCAGGATTAAAACAAGACAAATACCCTCGAGAACGTTTCAAAACGTTTGAATGCCAATTATGTTTCATAAAATCAATAACATCAAGTTTAACTGCTGTATTTAGCTTCGATAAAAGTTAGAAAGAGTCTTAAAAGAAATGAAAGGAAATCGATGTTGTGGCTTCGAGATAATTCCATTGATGATTGGAGGTTTGAGTGGTTGAAAGGTAGAACAGAACAGAAGGTACTGGCGCAGGGTTAAAGCAGTATTCACTAATTGTAGAGATTAGAGTGGTTGAAAGGTAGAACAGAACAGAAGGCACTGTCGCAGGTTTAAAGCAGTATTCACTAACTGTAGAGATTAGAGTGGTTGAAAGGCAGAACAGAACAGAAGGCACTGGCACTGGGTTAAAGCAGTATTCACTAATTAAAAGAGTTAAGATGATTGAAAGGCAGAACAGAAGGCACTGGCGCAGGTTCAATAATGTTAAGGTCGATATGTTCAAATGGAAATGCGTTACGTATTAAGTAAACCTGAAAAAATTATAGAAGCCCTCAAATACACGTATTAGCCCCGGCTCTCTTGGTAATTTTCTTATGACCCGAAATGCACGACAGCATAAAGTGGAGCATAGGCTCAAATTTAGTCTTGAATGATTCTTCTTTCCTCATTATTCCAGTCAATCCAGTTGCAAATTGGTACAGATAATCTGGGAAATATCAATACCAAGAGGTTTGGCCAAGGACCAGCCAGAAGTCAGGATATCTCTGAACTTTAAGATGTAATTCTTGTAAAAAATTGTTTCTTTTCTAAGTTGTGATCGAGACCTATTTACGTGTATGACTACAAGATTCAGTAAAAAAAATCTATTTTAACAGAAGGTGGTTAATGAACTGGAATTAATGCCAAAATCGATAAAGAGACCTGCGAGATTAGAAAATATCCTTCCGTATAGATTTATTATTAGCAGAGGACATTAGACAATTTATCTTCCCCGACATTGCAAACCCTACAGTCTACATTAAAAACATATTATCTACGCCGTATTAGGTAGACGATCAGTTATAGCTCTCACCAGTCGGAAAGATATGAAATGGAGTTTTACCTCCTACTTTTCTGCACCTGTTTGGGTTAATGAGATTGGACGACAGCATGCAGTGTGCAATGAAGGCAAGTTTTTCTAAGACAGGCGCCATGAGCCTACAAATTTTCGATTGCCCACTGTTGAGTGATCTTCAGTGTGTGGCACACGGGACCCGGCTTTTGCTTCAATTTCAGCCCCTCCAATCTGCATAACCGACAAGAAAGGGGAGGGGCATGGTTGAAAAGTCAGACCCATGATGGGGTTAAAACTTGGAACGTCAGGTTAGTGAACAAGCGTAAGCTTACAGGTATAATGAACAGAGACATGTCATTGCAGAGAACTTAATGTGGAAGTTTATGCCACTGATATTTCCCTCGGTGCACGTGGTGTCATTCTTTGTTAGAACAGTAGGGTTGGGAACTTAAGACGTACAATTCCAATCATTTCAATTCTTATGCTTTCGGGGAATTCAATTTCACGTGATATGATAAGCCCAAGAACTTAACGTTGTCTGTAGCCTATTAATGATAGTTTGATTATGTCCCTTTAGCCACTCTTGTGTGAAAGGAGTCAAGTAAAACGTATACTTCCGTTTCATCAAATTTGCACGTTTTTTATTAGAAATATTTTATATTATGAATAATATAGAGTTTGAATTTTAAATGAGTAGATTATTTTTGCAAAAAATCGTAGTTAGAGCACGCGTTCTTAACAGCCATGTCATTTTCAAACCAGGTGAATCGTTTGTCCTCTGCAAATTTCATAAGATACAAACAAGAACTTACTCCCTTAAGAGTGGTAAAGTAATACCCAGTGAAACATGGTATGGTGAACAGAAAAAGAAAACAAAATCAAGTAAAGTTAAAGAAGACCAGAAAATTTCACAGACAGATGACATAATATCTCAAAAAGCATCTGACTCTATTGATGTACATATTGTGGGGAAGGGTAGCAAGGGGTTTTCGAGAGCTGTAGTCATCAACACAACATCTACAAGGTACAGTTTATTTGCTGTTAAAGGAACAGTTGTGCCATTTTGGGGGGTTGATTTTAATCTTGAAAATATGCTAATAGTCTTGGTATAATTTCTTCATAAATATCTCAAAGTAGGAATAGGTACTAAGGACCTGTCCCTTTAAATAATTAGTAGATTTGTCAAACTAGGCCAAGGTGTTATAGACCCCTTATTCTGTTTGTCCAGTTAATACTACACTGGCAACGGATAGTGGGCCAGTTAAGACAGGTGTGTTTCACCAATTTGGCAATTGTTTTCATGTGGCCTTGACTTTTCATAGAAATCTTTAGATTAATTGATTTTTCAAGTCTGTAACTTTCATTTGATTTTCTTATATTTTAGGTATCTTTTTAACTGTGGTGAAGGAATTCAAAGATTTTTCATGGTAGACAAGTAAGTTAGGAAATTATTCATTGTCAGTATTTATATTTTCAGGATTATTCGATGTAAATTCACTTAAAAATTGGAAATTTTAAACTTAACCAGACAATTTTTTATTTTGAAGACACTTATTGTACTTGTTCAGTGTGAATTGGCAATAGACCTTTATTCACACATCGGCCATATTGAATCCTGATCGAACCTCATAACGCAAACAAACAAAGGTAACATGGTGTCACTGTAGTAAAATCGCCATCTTGACGTCTTTAAAGCCTCCAGTCCAAGTTATTCAAAACTAATCATATTAAAATATTAAGCTATTTAAGATCATTCACCCATTTCTGAGAAAAGGAAGTTTTAAGCCAATTTTCTTAGGTGTATTAGGTGTTTAGTGATGTTACATAGACTATTGATTCATATGATGTCACCTTCTTTACAATGGATGATGTAATTTGGGTTATGAACCTCGCTTTCAGTGGCTAAAAAATGAGGCGTGATCAAGGTCTATTGGAAGAGGGGTTTGGTAGCTATACATTCTTTTTATAGAAATTGACTCAAAACTGCTAGTTAGTTTCAGGCTGTCTTCTTAATATGTTTCAGATTGAAGATTGCCAAGATAGAACATCTTTTTCTGACCAGTAATAGTTGGAGTAACATTGGTGGATTAATAGGTATGCTTATATTGAGTTTGGCACAGGTCAAAAATCTGTCAACATTGTTGATCCATATTCGTCTTATACCTTGATATGACTGTAATAACCACCTTCCTTGTATAAGGGAATGTAGCGATTTGATTGGATCATATTCCAGAGAATACAACCAGAGTCATCAATAGAAAGACTGTAAACATGGGCCTTTTGTTTGCAGACTTCCTGTCAAGGACTTTGGTTGGCTGTATTCACCAACTTACAATCCAATCAAATTGCTGCATCTATAAACTTTCATGATACAAGAAATGTGGCTATTGCAGTCAAGGTATAATAGTTTGGTATACAAGGTTCCTCCTTGTGTTCAGTATTCAGTAATGCAAGTTGAAGTAGAGCTAACGTGGAGACAGTGTCTGGGGATTGGTGCATATCTGCCTGGCTATGGTCATCTCTCGTTTGTACAATCAGATTTTCAAACGGGGTTTCCCCCTATCAGTGATGTAGGTTGGAGGGGCTTACATGGAAAAAGCTTTAAGTCACTCGGATGGAACAATAAACCAAGGCCCAGGTTGTGCACTTTAAAGATCCACTGATAGTTGGAAATCGAAAAAAGAGGAGGCAAATGCCACCGTCCTGGCAAAATTTCCCTCATTGCACACTGCATGGCGTCTGTCTTCATTAGCTCAATTAGGTGCAGAAAAGTAGGAACTCCATTCATTTCTTTTGCATAAAATAATTGTGAGGTAATATTTGTAATTTATGTATTTATTTTTTATTACAGGTTTATTATTTATGTTAGAAAACATAGGTGTACCCAAAATAACTCTTCATGGACCCCCTAATGTGGTAAGACACAAACTCACTAAAACAATATCACTTATTGAAAGCATCATTCCCAGTGATCCTAGTCTTCCTCCTTTTAGAGGAATTTGTCTATTTTCTGGCCTGTAGTATTTTCTATTTTAAATAAAAACACCACTAATAATTTTGTTTGTCTACACAAATCAATCAAATTCCTCTCCAACTCCTACGCTGGGATTTTGTGATGCAAACAAAACTTGCATTCAGTGTCTAATACTACACCTCTTGTTCATTTGGGAGAATTTGATTGACTGGTAGTGTCATCAACCAGATGAATGTTCAAGAGGGCTGTCTATAGACCCTAAGTGGCTATATTAAAAGTAGAAGTTAATAAAATACGGAACGAAAGTTTGGTCTAATGTTGATTAGACTGTGATGTTTTATTCCCTTACTGGGATCCCTGAGTCGTTGCTGTAATATAATTAAATTTTTATCTCTGCACTCGAAGGCTTGGACAGATAGTCTTTTGAATAAATTTTTCAATGTAAGCTATTAAGGTCAGTCTCATCTATATTGTAGGAGGGTATATCCAGTATGTGTAAACATTTAGGACAGTCAGATGGGACAAAATTAGGTAAGTCAGTTGTCATGGTTACAATCCAATGGGACTTGAACCTTGTTTCTGAAAACATTTTATCATTGATTTCATTTCAAAATTTTTTATGAGGTAAATTTGAAAATAATTATGCCGATTATGATGATCTGTTTCCAATAAGTTTGGCCAAGTATTGCTAGCAGGTTCCTTAAAACCTTGTAGAGTTAATTTAAGTCTTTGCTCTATGTTTTTTGTAGAAAAGAGATTGCTTACTGAAGGAAATTACGAAGACAATAACTTCAAGTTTCAATACGTACCATTCTTTCGTAAAAAAGAAAAGACTGATGAAGCAGGTATGAGCTATACTGGTGAATTACACTCCAAGATGTGCATGATTCAATAACTATACCTGATCATTGTTATCAAATTAGTGCTGGGTATTGCCAGTCATGATATGATACATATCGCAATACAAGAGTTACGATACGATACGCATCGCGATGTGGGGTAAAGGGCTAAGTTTTGACATTTCAGCCACTGAAGTGGTTATATTAGAAAAAAGAGCTAAGAAAACGGAATGAAAGTGAGACCAGTTTTAATCCCATTTTCTCCTTGTTGATCGAAAGTTTAGTGTTGTGACATAGGCTATTCATCTATATGATGTCACCATCTTTTTCAATTTATGTAAATATTTCAGCGTTTGCCAGTAAAAAACCCAAGTTAGACAGTCTACCTGTTGAGGTTTCCGTAGCCTATATCTGTACAGTAAGTATTCTCTCATAGATAATTCACACTTACTCACTTACTTTTCTCATAAAATTATAATTCATATATCGAAATAGTTCTATGTAAGCCTTGAGTCGAATGTCCGTTCACAATTTTCTGTAAGTCTGGGGTGAATGACATCAATTAAAGGTCTTATATCACCTTGCTTCCCATTTCCTTCCCGTCTGACGATTCCTCCCCATTCCCTTTGAACAGTTAAGCCAGTAGAGTTTGGCTGTCTGTACGCTACTAAAAATAGAACCAGAAATGTCATGTCTATGCATGCACATTCGACTAGACCAGCTTCCACCATTATCATTTTTGTCATAATGCGCATACCAGTAAGTAATGATATTGGAACCGTAATTTTCAGATATCTTCTAAGGTAATACCTAAGCTGGCTTAACTTTTATGTCAGTCTAAATGCACACAAATAAAAAACTGTCTTTTTGCCGTGCGAAAACACTTAACTTTCCTCTTTTATTGCTTGTTTTAGCCTAAACCCTCGATAAGGAGAATAGATATTCAGAAATGCATCGAATTGGATATTGCTCCGTAAGTATTTTATAAAATTTTGCATTTTAATAAAATACATAAATTCAAGTATTTTCAGAAATAAAGAAATCTGATTGGTTAGTGCAATTAATTTTATAATCAGTTTAAATGATTAACCAATCAAATGACTTGAATATTCAAGTTTAGTTACTTGAATGTTAGAGGGCTGACAGGTCTGTTTTTTTCAGGGGGTTGTTTGGGTTTTGAATACATGTAAATAGTCTTCAAAAGTACTAAAAATCATTTTAACTTTCAAACACAGATAATTCTGGACACACGCTTCAAATTTCAAAGATGATCTGTGAAGAGTATTACTGATTAACATAACTGAAAAATTTGATCAGATTGTGAATGGATGGCAATCTTGTCCCTTCCAATGGGAAAAGTGGTTTGCACCCCCAATTGTACCCCTACTTTATTTTCAACAAATCTAAATGTCTACCTTTTTTCTCCAAAATACGTGTCAGAATGCACAAAATCTATTCATTTCTTCTAAAATTTTCTTGAGAAAAATCTCTAAGACATTCTATGAGAGGCTTGTGACTATGACACAAAATTTTGAATTCAGCCTCAGCAGTTTTCCCCCCATTGAGTCAGTCTGCCCCCTATTTGTACCCCCGGTCTCGGAAGGCTGGTGCTGCCACTGGTCCCTTCCAAACTTTGAACAGTCTAAGAACTGATTAAAAAAGTATACAAATTGATTCTTCATTTTTGAAGATTTCCCTCATTCCTCACTGTAAGACATTGTCATTTCAATATTTTCAAATTTTTAGAGGTCCATGTTTAAATTTGGTCAAAACTGGTGAATCAGTAACATTAGAAGACGGAAGAGTGGTAAGTTTATAATACTTTACTCTCAGTTAGATATAGATCTAGATGTTTTTTGTGGTTTTTCTGTGGCTGACTTTTTTTGCCATCAAAGGACTGCCAAATTCATAAGGAAGTAAGTTTAGACTATATAAAACATGGTCTTTTAAATGGTGCGAGCACGCAAATGGTCTTTGTCATAGATATTTGTTGCTGACTATAGTCTTGTCATAAAAGCGCCATGGCATACGTTAAAGTGGTGTGACTAAAGCCAGACCAGACCAGCTTCTTTTCTTTTAAAGTTAAATTTGTGAAATGTATTAAAAAATTTAACATCCATAATCAAAGTTATATAATGTATTAAATATATTATATTTACTATTCATTAAATCTAGATTAATTCTGAAGATATTTTATTTTCTATTAAATCTAGATTAATTCTGATGATATTTTATTTTCTTTTGCATCTAGATTAATTCTTAATATTTTATTTTCTATTGAAACCAGATTAATTCTGAAGATATTTTATTTTCTATTGAATCTAGATTAATTCTGAAGATATTTTAAAGCCACTTGTTCAATCTCCTTCATTTATCAGTAAGTTACCATTTTAGAAAGTCTTAATCATTCTATTTGTGAGTACCCCTGTGAATGTCACAATTGTGAAAAAGGACCAAGAAATTCAATTTAAACTATAGAACACTATATTATGGTATACTATTCCTAATTATTAATAAAAATATCAAAACACAGATGAAAATACCCCAGTGGAAATGACGGTTGATTTGATTATGTATTCCTAAGGAGTTATATATACTATACCATAAACTGTTCCCTTATTTAAAAAGGGATTGTAAATAGGTTTTCTAAATTTTTTATGTGTCAGGGACACTGATAGCATCAATTGCACCATTCCAATTTTCAGTCAGACGTCCGTGGTTCCTGCAATTCAACTAAAACTAAGTGTTTCATGACGTCACTAATTGCGAAGGCCTTATGGGATACAAGCATATTTTGCGATTAGTGACGTTATCAAACAGTTAGTTTGCAAGTTTTAATTAGCATTTAGTTTTCAAATTGCCCAATTAGGTACTGAACAGAGGGAAGTAAATTTTATTTATTAAATATAGTTGTAGAATGTTCTCACTCTGGGTTTTTAACTCCATTGATTAATAACGAAGGATTGAAAAAATATCAAAACACAGATGAAAATACACCAGTAGAAATGACAGTTGATTTAATTATTCACCTAACTCCAGAACATATAGTAAAATTACCTGAATATCAACAATGGATCAACAGGTAATTTGAATATTATTTTTTTAAGTCATCTAGCATTGATTATCGAATTCATAATCAGTTAAATATCAAAGTCAGATTTTCTCTCAGGTACTTGTTAAAAGGTCACTCATCCACAAGTTTTCCCTTTAACATATAACTTGCCCAACTGTAAAATACTGATTTTGGATCTCTTTCTGAATGTACATTTATTCAGAATATTTCATTTTCATGTTTTTGGTTGTTTTATTTTACAGTTTTGGAGCGAATGTTAAACATATGATATTTGAAGATACGTTCAGTAACGTCATGGATGATGAGGGCTCAAAAATACAAAGCCACCTCAATTTACTCCATCCTGAGTTATTCCCCTTGTTACCAGCATTGACCACGCCCACCTCGACTCTACCTGATATGACTAGTAATATTATTACAGGGGAAAATAACTTGAAGTATCATTATAAACCATATACACAATTATCAAGGTATTGTATTTTTACATTTTTCTTAGTTTTATATGCCCACCATTTCTCTTTCTTTCTTTGTCTGTTGGCAATGTGTGCCTCTGTTTGTGCTTTTGGAAGTGAATTGACTGTCAGCTCCCCACTTATTTATTTTTCATATATTTATAGTTTTTTTATATGCACAAATTTTTTTGTATGAACATTTATGTTTTATAGCCACAGCTTTATAGAAAACAATCACTGGTTGAAATTATACACATAAACAGATCAAATTGACTGATTTATTTTAGGGAAGAATAGATTTGGACAAACTCTTACGGAGAGAAATGATCTCACTGAGTTTGAGAAGTACTGTTCAATCTAAAATCTAATCTAAGATGTTCATCATTTATATCTAGTCTATTTATTTTTAGAGAGTTAATAACTCAGCCAAACCTTGAAGATTTCCAGAGTGAAATAACAAGAAATCCTGAAATTACTGAAGCAATAGATAATTTTAAACAAGAGGTCGCTAAATTAAAATCAGAGATTCCTAAAGGTATGGTCTCTATTATGTTTTCTTGTTTGCTAGTTTTTATACGCCTGCGTTATTTCGCCCCATCTGTCTGTCCTTCCATTCACAATTGGTGTGTGAGGCCACAGTCTTTATCAGATATGCAAATACAGTCACATCAGTCTATTGTGTAGGTTTTCAATCACATGGACATGTCCCATTGTGACCTGTAAGAATTGGAACAGACAGAACTAGTTCAGAACTCTCTTAATTGAAAGCCATCTTGGTAAGGCAGGATTTATGAAATTGGTATCATTGATGTAAAGTGCACATACCTAAAATTATATTCTGCAACATGGTAATTAAGGTCTGTTATTTTGATTCCAGATGATCGAGTGTATCCAGAGATTGTATTTTTAGGTACTGGAGCCTCAACATCATCAAAGTTCAGAAATTTTAGTGGAATTCTGTTACGTTTAGAGTAAGTATAAGATTTGAAAGACATTTAGAAGTGGAGAGTAGATATAACAAAAAACACAAGGGAATATATTATGGTATAACACACTTCTTTAATAACAAAGTTCATAACGTTTCAACATAATTTACACATTTCGTCATCAGATGAAATGAGTAAGAGTAAGTATAGTTTGAACAATCCGTGGCTTGTGCAAGGTGGCGGGGATGGGGGAAGAATATTTTTTGTAGTGGAAATATTTGTTTATCATTGTAAAATTGTAATAATATTAAGGATACTCTTTCAAAGGGGCTGTTCAATTGATTAGTTCTGTATGTTAAATGTGGGATTTATGGAATCAACATAATGTACAAGAAAACAAGTTGGAACTGTTTTCTTGTCTGCACCATTATAGTAGTATGTAACATTTAATTTTATTTTATATTGTACAGTGACAGTAAGAGTATAATGTTAGACTGTGGTGAAGCTACTATAAGTCAGTTATATGATCATTATGGTGAAAAAACAGACTCTATATTACGTACTCTTAATGGTGTATTTATATCACATATGCATGCTGATCATCATTTAGTAAGTTAGCTTTAATTCTGTTTTGTTGTTTGTGGCTCATTTGGTTAAAAACTTGCTCGCTAATGGCCCTGTCACTCCAGATAGGCGTCCTTACTGAGCTGATACAGTGTCAATAATTACCGTTGAGAACGTCATAGAAACAAGAATGTCTTAAGACGAGCGTTCTCCATGAACACATTAAAAGTGAAATGCACCCGAAGCCTATTGAGGTTATTAGAAACATGCCTTTGGAATGCAATATGGTTGCATATGTAGCAGTTTGAGTGAAACTCAAACTCGCATTGTCTTCTCGTTTTCCAACAACCCAGAACATTCTTGGACGCTGTAAGATCGCAAATGGTCGCAGTCCATTGTGAGAGGGCTATAACCTTGGTAACTGAGTAAAATGTCAAAATGCTAAAAATTTGCGCTTTCAAAAACTGAGATGTTTTCAATTGTGTTTCCCCTTATAAATGATATTTTTTTGTTTGGCTTCTTTTCAGGGCCTTTGTGGTATTATACAGGCTAGGCTAGATGCGTTTGGAAAAGAAAAGAAAGACATCCCTCGTTTAATCGTAGCTGCTCCATCATCGATGAAGAGGTGGATAAATTATATTGATGGGAGAATTTATCCAGTTTCTGCAGCTATAAAGTGAGTTTTCCTCAGGTTTATTTTAAAGGTCTAAAATAGAAATACCACTGTTAAAATACTGCCCAATACATCAATTGTAGAGTAATATAGAAATACCAATGTTAAAATAGTGCTCAATACATCAATTGTAGAGTAATATAGAAATACCACTGTTAAAATAGTGCTCAATACATCAATTGTAGAGTAATATAGAAATACCAATGTTAAAATAGTGCTCAATACATCAATTGTAGAGCGATATAGAAATACCACTGTTAAAATAGTGCTCAATACATCAATTGTAGAGTAATATAGAAATACCACTGTTAAAATAGTGTTCAATACATCAATTGTAGAGCGATATAGAAATACCACTGTTAAAATAGTGTTCAATACATCAATTGTAGAGTAATATAGAAATACCAATGTTAAAATAGTGCTCAATACATCAATTGTAGAGCGATATAGAAATACCACTGTTAAAATAGTGCTCAATACATCAATTGTAGAGTAATATAGAAATACCACTGTTAAAATAGTGTTCAATACATCAATTGTAGAGCGATATAGAAATACCACTGTTAAAATAGTGCTCAATACATCAATTGTAGAGTGATATAAAAATACCACTGTTAAAATAGTACTCAATACATCAATTGTAGAGCAATATAGAAATATCACTTAAAATAGTGCTCCATACATCAATTGTAGAGCGATATAGAAATACTACTGTTAAAATAGTACTCAATACATCAATTATAGAGTGATTTAGAAATACCACTGTTAAAATAGTGCTCAATACATCAATTGTAGAGCAATATAGAAATATCACTTAAAATAGTACTCAATACATCAATTGTAGAGTGATATAGAAATACCACTGTTAAAATAGTGCCCAATAATCAGTTGTAGAGTGATATAAAAATACTACTGTTAAAATAGTGCTTAATACATCAATTGTAGAGTGATATAGAAATACCACTGTTAAAATAGTGCTCAATACATCAATTGTAGAGCGATATAGAAATACCACTGTTAAAATAGTGCTCAATACATCAATTGTAGAGCGATATAGAAATGCCACTGTTAAAATAGTGCTCAATACATCAATTGTAGAGCGATATAGAAATAGCACTGTTAAAATACAACATACTATGTAGACCATTGAAATAACATGTTTCATGTTCTGTTTTCTATTTCTTATTGTAGGTTTTTTCCCTTACAAAGACTGAAATTAGAAGATAAACTGAATATTGCAAAACTTCTCAACCTTGATGATGTAAGTGGCAAGTTTTTTATTATTTCTTTGGGGGTTTGATTGGAGGGTTCTGAACAGGTTCTGTCAAAAGTTTTCAATAAACATTTAGAGGGCTTCAAAATAAGACCTTTCACAGGCCTAAGGGGAAGGCCGTTGCCAATACTGCACTGTTTATTCATTAAAGAAACAATAAAATTGTATGTAAGTAGAAGTAGAAGTCTGAGCTATATTTTTAGGCTTCAAAGACATCAAGGTGGCGATTTTACTGCAGTGACACAACATTACCTTTTTATTGTTTGTTTTATGAGTCTTGTTATGGATTCAATATGGCTGAGTATGAATAAGGTCTATAAGGTTTTGTATAGAAGAAAATGTCTAATTTCAGTTTAACCCAGTTGATGTGAATCATTGTCTAGGAGCTAAAGGACTGTGTTTAAAATATAATGGTTTTAAATTGGTATATTCTGGAGATACAATGCCTTGTAATAACTTAGTTCGCCATGGTAATTATTTATTAATTATATTGGTTTTAATCAGAGTACACATTGCTTATTATAAGTATTTTGTGTGAGGATTCGTTGTATAAGATCATGAGATAAGGTTTGGTCAAGGACCCATTTTTTGACAGGATCCTCATGAACCTAAAATGTTCCTTTTTTTCTTTTTTTTAAAATTGGTTTTTAGATTTGTCAATGCAGCATCCATTTTAAAGATTCTCCATAGTAATGACATCGCAAAATATTCATTATCACATAAGGCCCTTCAGATTAGCGATGACATCAAACACTTTGTTTAGTGGAATTGTAAGAACCAGAGACGTCTAATTGAAAATTTGATTGGCACAAATAGATGATATCAGTGTCCCCAATACACAATAAAAAGTTTAGAAAACCTTTCATGATTCCTTTAATGTTTTGTTTTTAGGAAAAGATTGTGATATTTTGATTCATGAAGCAACATTTGATGAAGGAATGGAGAAAGAGGCTAAATTTAAAATGCACAGGTATTTTAATCCTCTCTATCTGTATAAATCTGATTCAACATATTTTGTTTCATTTATATTCATTCATAGGAAGATCTCTATCCTCTTTGGAAACTTTACATGCATCATTTGATTTAGTTCAGTCATTCTCATTATACCAGTCTACCCAGGTAAATATCATTGTCAAGAGGTTTTGCCAATGATCAACGGACCAGCCTTCCAAGACTAGGGGTAAATATAGGGGGCAGACTGACTCATTGGGGGGGACAACGGTCAAAATGCAGCAAGTCTGTGGAGGTGTCATGATCACTGCACTTGGGAAAATCTGAATAAAAGTGAAAAACTTTTGATTCTCCAAAACACAAACATTTTATTTGATCTTGGCAATGATAATGTTCATATTTTCTAGTACAACAACACAAGCTATAGAAATTGGACAGAAGATGAAAGCCAAGCAGATCATATTGACCCATTTCAGTCAAAGATTTAAAAAAGTGCCAAATTTTACCAATATACATACTTCCAATGTTTCCATAGCTTTTGATCATATGACGGTAAGTATTTGTTTCGTCAGACAAAAGTTGCAGGAGATAGCTTGGTGTGTCTTGAGGGTATATGCCTCTCCCAGTCAGAACCCTTGATAAGGGACAGTTTAAGAGTCAGGTTACCCCCTTCCCATTTATTGAAATTAAAGATCTCCCTAATCCTTCAAACCCCCTCCCCCCCCCTCCACTTCCAAAAATTGACATTGTCCATAATGGTGGTAAGGATTTCAGCCCACCACTAATCCCCCAGCCCCAAACAAGTAAGCTTTAAACTATTCTAACAGATTAATCTTACTGTATTTCAGGTTCGACCGTGTGATTATCCCTATCTATCATTGTTATTAAAACCTCTAGCAGTGATGTTTGAAGATGCCATCAAAATAAACAATATTATTAAAATGAAAAGGACCCAAAAAGATGCTTTGAAATTGGAATCTGAGGCTGCACAAGTCAAGTCTCATAGCAGCTGATGAATTGGCTGCATGAACCAGTCATGTCTGACTAGAGCTCTAGGCTGTTGATTTAGCTGTATTTACCAGTCGTGTCCGACTACAGCTCTAGATATATTGATTTGGCTATTTTTACCAGTCATATTTCACTAGAGCTACTGATGAGGCTATATTTGCCAGTCATGTCTGACTAAATCTCTAGACTGTTAATCTGGCTGTTTTTGTCTGTTATCTTTTATTGAAGATCAAGGATTTCTGAGGAAAAAATAATATTTGAAGTGGAAACCCTTGATCAGGATTGATCTGAGAAAGCTGTACTTACCAGACATGTTTGATGATATTTTAAAAGTGTCTCGTTGTGAGTTTAAAGCAACAGTCAAATTGGATGAAGATGGAAGTCATTTTAATAAATTAAAAAGTGCTACAGTGATCCTATGTTTTTGCTGGTTGAAAGAAGCGAAAGTAAAAACTTAATACCAGCAAGCCTGTTGGACTAAAGGCATAGTAAGATTAAAGGAATTGTCATTTTTAATGGAATTTTAATTTTTAGACATGCTGAATTGCTGCCTTGTGTTCTCTGGAACAAGTTAACATTGTGCAGTTTTATTGTGTCGTTCGCTTTGAAGGACAAAAGGTGTTGATGCTGATTTATTATTGACTTTAAACAGTTCGTATATGAACTCTCCAAAAGGCAAAGAAAAAAAGCTGTAGACTGAACAGAACATTCGATTGGTTCAGTTCTGCTTTAACATGCAAATAGAATGTTGCACAATCACCCTTCTCCCCTTCCGTTGCCCTTTCCTCTCCCCTTCCCGTTGCCCTTCCCTCTCCCCTTCCCGTTGCCATTGTTTTAAAAGATATATATATATATACATGATTGTGCAACATTCTATTTTCATAAAGCAGAACTGAACCAATCGAATGTTCTGTTCATATATATATATATATATAATAAAATAAATACAATAAACAATTGTGTTTACCAATCGAGACCCAAAAAGTGGCCATTTTTAAGTATATATATATAGGGCAAGGGCCTTGCTGAAAATCAGGCTCTTAACATGTACAGAATATGGAGTCGTCCTAGAACGACATAATAGTGGTCTGAAGTCTGGAAATATAGTTTAGATTATGTCCCGTTAATTGCTCTTCAGTCTTGAAGTTAAATAAAACGTATACTTCCGTTTCATCAAAATTGCACATTTTTCATCAGAAATTTCTTATGTTTTGCTTTTTATTATGAAAATTATATTGATTGAATGAATAGATTTCATTTACCATGAAGTATAGTTAGGGCACTATTTGTTCACAGCCGTGTCATTTTCAAACGATTAAATTTTAAAGTGCAAAAGACGTTCTTAGTGAACCACAGGCACATGTCCTGGTACGAACTTAAACACTTAGCGGTACACTAACGTTTTAGATGGAAATTCGCTAAAACCAGTTAAAGAATCTTAAAATGGAGAATTTGAATGTTCAACCGAAAAGGAAAGAAAAAATCGGTAAAAATAAGAAAGCCAAACTGAGGATTTTAAAGACGCGTGGATCTACAAATGCATCATCAGCATCGAACTTGATCGATGTCCACATTGTGGGGATGGGTGGCAAGGGGTTTCCTAAAGCTGTAATGATCAACACAACATTTACAAGGTAGGCTAGAGTTTTTTTTATCAATTGTTTTTTTTGTTGCACCAAGAATTTTAGACATCTAACGTTCTCATACAAAGTAGGAGTTAATGATAAAATGAATTTGTGAGATTATTACTCATTAAGTTTTTTAAATAGATTTTTTTTTTCATGTCTGTAACTTTTTGTCTTTTTCTTTTTTAGATACCTTTTCAACTGTGGTGAAGGAGTTCAAAGATTTTTGCTGGTTGACAAGTAAGTTATGATATAACTCTGATTCTCAGTATTTCTTTATATTTTTTCACTATTAGGCATGTAAAGTGATCAATATCCAGTCTGGAACTCATTCTGAAAACAAGGACATACAGGCCCATTTCATTTTTATCAGTTTTGGTCACTAAAGTAGCAATTAAAAGTAAGCTTACAGTATATAAGTGGTATTCCTTTTTTAAAGAAATCGAATCAAAACTGCCGAGCCAGTGAGCTTCAGAGTTGAGACAGACATAGAACTATCCTCTTGATATGATTGTTTCAGATTGAAGATTGCAAAGATAGAACATCTTTTTCTGACCAGTAAAGATTGGAGTAGTATTGGTGGATTAATCGGTATGCTTCTATTGAGTTTGGCACAAATAGGGATAGCTTGCTTAATATTTGTTAAAATTACCCCCCTTCCCTGTCAATTATGCAGGTGGTAGTAGGTGCTAACATGGGATAAGTGTCTAGGTTTTAATATGGAACAATAAACTGATACTCTTTGCCGTATATGTTAAAGATCCATAGAAAAAAAGTTTAATGCTGCTTTGCTATCAAAATTTAAAATTTCCCTCTTTGCATACTTTATCCTTGTCACTATGTATTGTGAATAGCCTTGTCGAAAGCAGAAAAGTGCTTTTTAGCAATTGTTTGTATTTAATCAAAGTAAAAAATTGTTATTTTTCCAACTGAATGATGAAGTGAGCATTTCTATCTTTGGTGTAATTTTGCTAAGATCATTGATCTATTGTACGATTGTTTATTACAGGTTTATTATTATCATTGGAAGAGACAGGAGTACCCAAAATTACCCTTCATGGACCCCCTAATGTGGTAAGCAACAAACACACTAATAGCTGTAAGGGTTTAGAAATGAGATGCAGTCCCCCTCTCCTGCCCTTCTGTTGTGGGGCCCGAATAAGGAACTAAGAACTAAGTATCTTTCTACCTGTTGCTGAATGTCGCTGCCAGTACCTATATATATTACAATAACAAAATATTTTCATTGTTAAAACAGTACTTAATACATCAATTGTAGAGCGTTATAGGCATATTAAAGCAACCTGAACTTCAGTAGGGACATAGGCTGAAATGTGGCAGTTGTCTAATCGCAACAACTTGTTTCAGGTTCTGTATTAATATTTTTATATGAAATACATCATATTGTAGGAGGGTATATCCAGTATGTGTAAACATTTAGGACAGTCAGATGGGACACAATTGGGTAAGTCAGTTGTTATGGTTACCATTCAATGGGACTTGAACCCTGTTTCTGAACAAATTTATGCATTGGTTTTGAATATGCTGCCAATGCCCCCAATTCCGGACAGTTGGAAGAACACAGTTTGGTAAGTAAGTTCTTATGGTTACAAGCCAATGACAATGCTAAGAGGTTTGGCGAGGTATCAGCTAGTAGACAGGATTCTCAAGAACCTTGTACAACTTTCTAATTTTAATTTTTATTTCTAGAAAAGAGAGCACTTACTGAAGAATGTTTCGAAGACAATAACTTCAAGTTTCAATATGTACCATTCTTTTGTGAAGATGAAAGAACCGATGAAGCAGGTATGAATTATTGAATGACCCACTTTACAATTTCAATGTCAATTGGATTGGATCGTGCGACAGCCAAAGCAGCGAATCAGATCTCTCGGCAAAAAGCTGTACTAGACATTATCGCTTATTGTTTACAGACTTTCTTTTGAGAGCTCTGATACAATCCAATCATATCACTGCATATACAAACATGATACAAGAACATTGGCTATTGCAGTCAAGGTATAAAAGGCAGTTCATAATAGCTTGACATTGTGAAGATGATTGGTGATTCAATAACTGTCCTGTATCATTTCTACCCATGTCCCTGTTTCTCAAAAATACTTCAGATATAGGTCTGAAGACTTGAGTTGAACATGTGACTTTGCACACTTACAGTAAAATTTTTCCACTTCAAGTACACCAACTGGCTATTATCTTTACAGAGTGATCATTTTGATAATTTTTGAATTTCTATCTATGTTAATATTTCAGAGTCTGCCAGTAAAAAGCCTAGATTAGACAGTCTACCTGTTGAGGTTTCCGTAGCCTATATCTGTACTGTAAGTATTCTCTCATAGATAATTAACACTTACTCACTTACTTTTCTCATAGATATTAAAATTGTTGTCTGAATATTTTCATAGGATGATAGCTGTATATCTTTGATATTTTATCATTGTAATTTGTTTTGAATATGCAAAAATCTATTAAACACTGGCAAATTAGAATATAAAGTTGGATTTTAAAGCTGCAAGGATCTCCAAACAGGATTTTTTTTTTCCCAACAAAAACAAATTGCTGTAACAGGTTGATCTGACAACAGATTGATTATTTGGGTCTAAATTGGTACTAATTTAACTATCTACTGTTTTAGCCCAAACCATCAGAAAGAAAGATAGATATTTTAAAATGTAAAGAATTAGATATTCGTCCGTAAGTTACAAATTATTATAAATTTCTCTTGACTTATGGAAAACCAGATCCTCAAGGTTTAAAATTTCATGAAACAGTCACTAAGGAATGAATTATTTCAAATTTTCACTTATGCCGATGACAAATAATGACTCAAAAATTAGTGGGAAAACAAACCACGTGTTATGCATTTCCACACATTAAAAGAGCTTTTGACAATTAAAAAAAAAGAAGTCAATTTGAATAGAAAGTTTACCTAATTTCGATATTTCTTTTCTTTTATCAGAGGTCCTAGTTTTAATTTGTTGAAAACTGGTGAATCAGTAACATTAGAAGATGGTAGAGTTGTAAGTATATAATATGTTACTCTTCTTCTGAATATTATTTGTCTGTGGCCAAAATTAGAATTTACCATAGCGATCTGTGAATCAAATCAAATTGTATATTTTGTGTGCTATTTTTTTTATATGACAACACTATAATCATAAGGTACTAACATCATTGCCAAAATCTTTTGAAGGATTACCATTAGAACATTTTAAATTTCTACCTAATCTTAAAGAAATGCAACTCGAAATTGCATAAAGAAAGAAAAGTAATAATTTTGCAATCCAGAAATCCTTTTGCTTGGAAATATTTACTACAGAATGAAAGTTGTAAGATATTTTATTTTCTATTGAATCTAGATTAATTCTGAAGATATTTTCTATTGAATCTAGATTAATTCTGAAGATATTTTCTATTGCATCTAGATTAATTCTGAAGATATTTTATTTTCTATTGAATCTAGATTAATTCTGAAGATATTTTATTTTCTATTGCATCTAGATTAATTCTGAAGATATTTTATTTTCTATTGAATCTAGATTAATTCTGAAGATATTTTATTTTCTATTGAATATAGATTAATTCTGAAGATATTTTATTTTCTATTGAATATAGATTAATTCTGAAGATATTTTATTTTCTATTGAATCTAGATTAATTCTGAAGATATTTTCTATTGAATCTAGATTAATTCTGAAGATATTTTCTATTGCATCTAGATTAATTCTGAAGATATTTTATTTTCTATTGAATCTAGATTAATTCTGAAGATATTTTATTTTCTATTGAATCTAGATTAATTCTGAAGATATTTTATTTTCTATTTAAATTAGATTAATTCTGAAGATATTTTCTATTGTATCTAGATTAATTCTGAAGATATTTTCTTTTGAATCTAGATTTTTTCTGAAGATATTTTATTTTCTATTGAATCTAGATTAATTCTGAAGATATTTTCTATTGAATCTAGATTAATTCTGAAGATATTTTATTTTCTATTGAATCTAGATTAATTCTGAAGATATTTTATTTTCTATTGAATCTAGATTAATTCTGAAGATATTTTATTTTCTATTGAATCTAGATTAATTCTGAAGATATTTTATTTTCTATTGAATTTAGATTAATTCTGAAGATATTTTATTTTCTATTGAATCTAGATTAATTCTGAAGATATTTTAAAGCCACTTGTTCCATCACCATCATTTATCAGTAAGTTACCATTTTCATGCTATTAGTTTCCAAGCATTGGACATCTTATACCCCATATTTGTGGGTGCCCATTTGCATTCAGAAGAACCAGATCAAGGTGAAATAGGATCATTAAAGACAGTATCAGAAACGATTGTCTGTGGTCATAACTCTTGTCTGTTGATCTGTCAACTTGAGAGAGATTTTGTGGAAACTATTCCTCTATCTCTGAAATGCTCCAGCTCTTGTTGTAGCCTTATGCTGCTTTCTTTACAAAATTTTCCTCACTGCTCACAGCATGGCTTTGCCAGTCAATAACCTAATAAGGCGCTTAAAAGTCTGATATAAACCTCAATTTCATTTCATTTATTAAATATAGTTGTAGATTGTCCTCACTCTGGGTTTTTAACTCCATTGATTAATAACGAAGGATTGAAAAAATATCAAAACACAGATGAAAATACACCAGTAGAAATGACAGTTGATTTAATTATTCACCTAACTCCAGAACATATACTAAAATTACCTGAATATCAACAATGGATGAACAGGTAATTTTTTATTTTTATCTTTTGGTCATACTTGTTTCATTGGTTGCACTGGAGCTGAAGTGGCTCTGCTAAACTGAAGATTTCGGGTGTAATCCTGGCATGGTTCAGAGGAATACCTGGATTCTTCTGACATTAATGCAGGTTGGAGAGGGCTAACATGGATAAAGCATCTGGTTGTTAGGGCAATAAACCAAGGCCCTGTGCGCTACAGGCTGTGCATGTTAAAGATCCCTTGACAGTTTGAAATTGAAAAAGAGAGGGCTTATGTCGCTGTCCTGCTGTGAAAAAGTAAGGCATGTGACAGAATTTTTATATCATTCAGACTGCTCATGTAGCTTATAATGTTTTTTGGATATTTGGAATAGGTCAATGCATCATCTCTTTCAGATAGTCCACATTTATTTGATGGTGACTGAGTCGATCTTGCATCCCTTTCAGAATGTCTAATATTGTTAATTTAGTAATATCTATTTTCCAGTTTTGGAGCGAATGTTAAACATATGATATTTGAAGATACGTTCAGTAACGCCATGCATGATGATGGTTCAAAAATACAAAGCCACCTGAATTTACTCCATCCTGAGTTATTCCCCTTGTTACCAGCATTGACCACGCCCACCTCGACTCTACCTGATATGACTACGAATATTATTAGAGGGGAAAATAACTTGAAGTATCATTATAAACCATATACACAATTATCAAGGTATAGTATTATTACGTTTTTCTTAGTTTGTGCAAAGGGCCACTGTTTGTGCTTTTGGAAGTTGTAAGCTCTACTCGTAAATATTAAAGTAATAATAATAATAAACTTTTTATTTTACATGGGTCAGAATTAGGTCCAATACACAAGGACATGGTACTGTCTAACATTCAGTCCATGGGAACAATACAATTAACGAATGAAAAAATGTTTATTTTCAGAGAGTTAATAACTCAGCCAAACCTTGAAGATTTCCAGAGTGAAATTACAAGAAATCCTGAAATTACTGAAGCAATAGATAATTTTAAACAAGAGGTCGCTAAATTAAAATCAGAGATTCCTAAAGGTATGCTGTTTATTTCGTATTCTTGTTTGCTTCATAAGGCTCACAAGTCAAGTCTGAGTGACTGGCAAATATATTAAATCAACATCCTATACTAGCCTGACAAATCTGGCCAGCTCTTCAGATGTGATATTGTCATGTATTCTAATCTACACAATAGTAAAGTCAAAGGGTATAGATTTTTCTCTTTCATATAATTCTGTATATTTTAGCCATGCAAGAATGTAGATCATGAGAATTGAAATTTAGGGAATCATTTGGCTTTTGTCATGGTGAAAATATCAAATCCCATAAAAAGTGAAATCTGATATCTGGCCCTTCCCAACACAATAATATCACATCCTTATTTCATATCTGAAGATCTGAGTAGGTCAAGTCCACTATATGAAGATAATGTTGGCAAGTCAGGATATTCTCGTGTTTTTGGAACATCTGAGGCTTCTCTGAGACAAGGTCTATTAAATTGGTATTCCATTTATTATTGTGTTATGTTGATTCCAGATGATCGAGTGTATCCAGAGATTGTATTTTTAGGTACTGGAGCCTCAACTTCATCAAAATACAGAAATTTTAGTGGAATTCTGTTACGTTTAGAGTAAATATAGTTTAAACAATCTGTAGAATGGTGTTCGTTTTATCACCTTGACAGTAGTCTGTGAAGTAGCAGGAGAGATGTTTTTAGGCGATAGGCATTTTACATTTGAAAATTGTTATTATATTGAAAGAATACGCTTTCAAATTGTGTAAAATACGGGATTTAAGCCATTTCATTATAAACAATATTCCAGAATGGATCTAAAAAAAAAAGGTGGCTGTGGCCTCTCTGAATACAAAGTTCTGCAGCCACCATCGGTAGGATTTATATCTTCACTTAATTGCAGCATTGCATGGCATTGCCCAAATATCTCCATTTTATTTTATATTGTACAGTGACAGTAAGAGTATAATGTTAGACTGTGGTGAAGCTACAATAAGTCAGTTATATGATCATTATGGTGAAAAAACAGACTCTATATTACGTACTCTTAATGGTGTATTTATATCACATATGCATGCTGATCATCATTTAGTAAGTTAGCTTTGATCATCATTTAGTAAGTTAGCTTTGATCATCATTTAGTAAGTTAGTTTTCATTCTGTTTTGTTGGTGAAGTCTCAATGTCAAGCTATTACCAACTTCTTCTTCACAATGTCAAGCTATTACAAGCTACATCTTCACAATGTCAAGATATTACAAGCTACATCTTCACAATGTCAAGCTATTACAAACTACATCTTCACAATGTCAAGCTATTACAAACTACATCTTCACAATGTCAAGCTATTACAAACTTTGTCTTATACCTTGACGGCAATAGCCATGTATCTTGTATCACAGAAAGCAACAATTTGATTGAATTGTATGCTTATTATTTACAGACTTTCTGTCAAGGCACCTCATTAGCTGTATTCGCTAAGGTATACAGAGACCACAGTTTTGATCCATACATTGTCAGAGATGTTCCTTTCTTTTCAGGGCCTCAGTGGTATTATACAGGCGAGGCTAGATGCGTTTGGAAAAGAAAAAAAAGACATTACTAGTTTGGTCGTAGCGGCTCCATTATCAATGAAGAGATGGATAGATTATATTGATTCGAGAATTTATCCAGTTTCTGCAGCTATAAAGTGAGTTTTCATCCCAGTTTTCCCGTCAGTGATGCATGTTGGAGGGGCTGACATGGAAAAAGTGTCTAGTCGTTTGGATGGGATAATAAACCGGGGACCTGTGTGTTACAGTGTGCTACAGGATGTGCATATTACAGATCCCTCAACAGTTGGAAATCTCAAAAGAGGGGTCTATTGCAATTGTCCTGGTAAAATTCCATTCATTGCACACTGCATGGTGTTGCCTGTCTTCATTAGCCAAATCAGGTTCAGTAAATATGAATGTAAATCTTACTCATTTTATTTTCAATTTTTTGTTGCTTTATTATTTTAGGTTATTTCCCTTACAAAGACTAAAACCAGAAGATAAACTGAATATTGAAAAGCTTCTCCAACTTGATGATGTAAGTGGCCATTTTTTTTTTTCAAAGAATGTTACAGATTGAAAGTAGATAAATTCGTTAACCCAAATAATATTCAGGGAATGGGGGTTGAAAGCTGACAACCCTTAAACTGTCCTGAAGCTTTTCTTACTTGTGGTGGATTTGAACCCACAGCGCCAAATTGCCTACAATCCAACTTGCTAATGATTGCAGAAATTGAAAGTAAATTGACATATTAATTCTCTGGTACACTTGAAAACAAGATAGACCTATTTTAAATTTTGACTTTGTAATCCGAATTAACGGTCGTTTTGGAACCTTCTAATGTTAGGCTCTTAACACAATTTATGTCATTTATTCAAAAATGGTGATGTCATATGAGGAAACAGTTACATTCCGAGTTAAATGATGTAAAATATGATAAACTTTGAGTTAATTGGATTGGAGAAGGAGGCAATAAAGCGATTTCACAGCTGTGACACAATGTTACTTTTTTTTCTTTTGGATTCAATATGGCTGACATATGAATAAGGTCTATGAGGATTTTTAAAAACGAAAATGTCTAATTTCAGTTTAACCCAGTTGATGTGAACATTGTCTAGGAGCTAAAGGACTGTGTTTAAAATATAATGGTTTTAAATTGGTATATTCTGGAGATACAATGCCTTGTAATAACTTAGTTGAACAAGGTCAGAAGTTATAATCTTTTGATGATATCTAGAAGTGTATAATGTACTCTGTGAATTCCAACTTCTGAGTATTCCGACATTCTGTACAATCTGACATCTTTTTTTTGGTCTCGATTGATTTCCTTCTTATGTCAGAGTACTCCAACATTCTGTGTGGCACTCAGAAAAGGCTATATAGTCCGACATCTTTTCATCCTCAAGATGCCTATTATGATTCCTTTATTAGATTTTAAACGTTGCTCGAATTGAAAGAATCCATGACAGTTTTTTTAATTATTTTTTAAATTTGATTTTTTAATTTAAAGGGCTTTTTTTTGGTCTTAAATGTAATATGTATAACAATTACAGCCAAATTAACAGTCAAAATCACATCAGACATTTTGAAAAATATTAAAATTTGGGTGTTGTAGGAAAAGATTGTGATATTTTGATTCATGAAGCAACGTTTGATGAAGGAATGGAGAAAGAGGCTAGATATAAAACACACAGGTATTTTAATAACCCTCAATCTTGTAACTTGATCCGTTTTGAAGATACTTCAAACTAGAAATTTCATTTCCTATTTCTATGGCAGTGTCTAAAAAAAACTTTCAAACACAGATAATTCAAGACACACATGGATTTGAAGGCTCAAATTTCGACGATAGGCTGTGAACACTATTACTAATTGGCTAAGCTAAAAAATTCCAGTTTCTGAGACTCAGGTATGATTGGTCAAGAAAATGGACCACCAGTCCCTGTAAAGGTTTTATATTTTTCAGTACAACAACACAAGCTATAGAAATTGGACAAAAGATGAACGCCAAGCAGATCATATTGACCCATTTCAGTCAAAGATATAGTAAAGTACCGATATTTACCGATAAATTTACCTCAAATGTTGGTATAGCTTTCGATCACATGACTGTAAGTATAACTTATGTTGCTTTTATTTGTATTTTTAAATCGCTACCGGTTAAGGGGTATAGGAAATAGGACATGTTTGGCAAGGGAAGAGGGAGGGAGGGTATCTGAGGGGCACTAGCCAGAAAATCTCCATACAATTAGTGGTGTTTTTAGGAAACATTAGTTGAGGTGGGCCGAGCATGGGCCACAAAATTTTCTAGGGGGGGGCTACAGACCAGTCTTTCACTATGTAAAATGATAAAAAATTTGGAAGTAGGGGGCCAAAGCTGGCCAGCATCTTTTCTGAGTGTTCCATGTATACAATGTACTATAGTATTTGTACAGGAGAAGTGGATGGTTGTCACACTATTCCTTTCACTGTCAGATTTTTAATAAGAAAAGTCAGTTTTAAGCAAAAAAATGAAATTGAAAAAGGGGTTGTGTACAGGAACCCTCCACTAATCCCCCACCCCCCAAACAAGTAAGCTTTAAACTATTCTAACAGATTAATCTTACTGTATTTCAGGTTCGACCGTGTGATTATCCCTATCTATCATTGTTATTAAAACCTCTAGCTGTGATGTTTGAAGATGCCATCAACGAAATTAATGATGTTAAAAAGAAAACCAACCAGAAAAAAGATGGAATACAAAACTGTGCTGATAATACCTGACTTGAATTGACTGTATTAACTAGTCATGTCTGACTAGATGTCTTAGACTGTTGATTTGACTGTATATATCAGTCATGTCCGACTAGAACTGGCTGTGAAATTGGTTGTATTTACCAACCATGTCTTATTAGAGCTTTAGACTGTTGATTTGGTTGTATTTGTCAGTCATGTCTGACTAGAGCTCTAGACAGTTTATTTGGTTGTATTTTCCAGTCATATCGAAATGGTGCTCTAAACTGTTGATTTGGCTGTATTTGCCAGACATGTCTGATTGCACCTTTAAGGTGTCTGGTTGTGAGCTTTAAGTTTCCGATCCAAATGGGAACAGACTGAAGTGATTTCAATAAAAAGTGCTGCAAGGATCCTATGTTACTGGTTGGAAGACCAAGTAGAATATTTATGGTGCCTTTAAGGAGAACCTTGTTGTTTAAAAATAAATAGCTTGAAGAAGGCAGAGCGTGCCTTTTGGAATAATAGTTGTTGTTGATGATGAAGTATTGAGACCGTAGAGCTATCATATAAAGAGACCAGTGATAATGTTGGTGCAGAGATTATCTATAAAGTACAGTATAAGATACAAGGAATTTACATGTAGTTGCGTTAATAAATACTGATGGTTGATAGATCTAAGTAGCATCACTTTTCACAAGAAGATCTGGTGTGCTGTTTATCTACAATATAATAACAATGTACTGTCGTAACTGATAGCAGTATAAACTCTAAAGCGTTGTTATGGTTAAATTAATAGTATTGTACATGTATTTTATGTATAACTTATATTTTTTTATGAGATTCCTTTGTTTAGAAAACAACACAAACGTTTCTCGTGCTATTGTGCGAATCCAGGACACGACATGTGCATAATAACGGATATTCATTCACAGTTAGTTGAACTAATTTTTGCTCTGCGTCTGCGAGTACCTTTGAGGTGCAGAAGAGTAGGACGTAAAACTCCATTCATTTCATTTTCCATTTTGAGTACCTTTGACGGACTGCCAAAATCGTGTAATGAATGATGATATTTGGTCGAAATATTAAATTTAAAACCATGATAAATTCTTCATAAATTCTTGAACGTGAATTTAAATTGATACCCAATGTTCTAATATTCCATCCATTAATAAAGTAAAAGTAGAAAAATGTGGAGAAATGAATGCCAAATATTCCTCACCTGCAAATACATCAGAATCTCACGTGGTTATAATGGTATCAGAATAACTCGTGTCAATAAAACGAAAGTAGAATTTAAAGTGGCAAACGTTGAGTTAACAGTAGGTGATGATTAGACACTTATTTCAAGGTTAAAAAAGGTTATTTTCTGATGATTTATTGCTTCTTGAGATAACTAACTTATCTTAGGTATTTACTCTATTATCGTTCCTACACTTAACAAATGTATCAGTTCGGGGAAGTGGTTTAGAATTTTAAAGGAAATCATTTTTATACACCAACATTTTTATGTATGCACTGGGTACAGTGGTTCAACTACAGGGACTGGTTGAAACACATCCACGGGCCCCTATCCCCCAGGGCCCCAACCACCAAGACATACAAATGCAAAAGAGCATATGTGAAAAAATATTTTTCCGTGAGAGGGGCCCCAACCCACTTAAGTTCACGGGCCACTACCCATTTAGTTGAGCTACTGGCTTGGTATATTAGGCAGAAATTTTTTCATGATTATCCTGTCATCCATGATTACCACAGGCTATTTATATACCGGAGCTTTTGCTTTATATATATTTAATATAAGCCTATATCAAGTAAATCGGTGCCTATAACCCTTTAAGTTTTATGAGCACTACTGTCCTGGGCCGACAGAACGCCCACTAACAATCTGCATCCCATTTGCATAACTAATAATGTTTTTAACACAACAGATAATGGTGCTCAAAACTCCACTTTTTTCAGTCTGTTAGTCTTGCGGTTATTAATTTTATCAACTTGTTTATATTCCTGGGTACATTTTTCACATTCCATCTCATTATTACTAACAAACCATTACTAATTATATTACTAATTAATCTGTCCTAATTAAACTGGAGCGTGTTTTTTAAACGCCCAGACACCAAAACAGTAGCCTATACGTCTTTATCCTCACCCAGCTATTCAAGGAAGTTAAATTGAATAACATGAAGCTTTCCATTCTACTATTTCGAGTCATATTGGACTTCTGGTGTAAATAATTTGTCCAAATGAATTTCTGGATTTCGTATTTACGCTTGTAGAAAGCGATTAACGAATCTGTAAAACCTACCCTTAGTTTGTAAATAGACTCTGCTGAGCATTTGGAACATTTAAGCGTAAAGACAGACAAATGCAGATGTGGTTAACAAAATGGACTGACGCTGTAGAGTTTTTGACTCACAGGCAGTTCTTTGGTGATGCAAAATGAAAAATGGAGATGCAAGTAAGAGCATGGCCGGACAAGCCTCAATAGAAACACCACTGGGTATTAAATGGTCGGTTTTTGCCCTGAGTTTAATAAAGTTAGGCGTAAACCTCCATTTCATTTAAGATAAAGTTAACCTTGAAATTATTATTAAATCTCGGTATTCACAGACTTATCTTGACACCTGGTGATGAAATCTATTATTAGATGTTAATACGTTGATTAGGCGCTAACAGGTGTCGGCAGATAAAAACATTTTAACACCTGGTTGGTAAAATACCTGCAGTCTGCATGGCTTCCTCGATTTTATTTTCCCAATCTGTTGTGGGAGATTAGGATGTAAAACTCTGTTTCGTTTGTTTTCTGTTTTCATACTACTGTATCGTTGCTCATTTTTTTTACCCAATCTGGTGCGACAAAGAAAGACACAAAACTCTGTTCCATTTCATTTTAAACTGTTGTATAACTGCTTCTTTTGTTTATGTGAGAATCACAATATGAACGTCTGGTGGTAATCTAAATCATTAAATTAGGGGCCAGAGGAGGGGGTCGGGTAGGTGGCAGTCTCATAGACTTTCCCTATACGAGAAGAAGGGGAGCAGGTTACCCACAGTTCAGTTTGTTTTGCCTATTTAAGTAAGAAAATAGTATTTTACCATCAATCGCATCTGAAACAAAACGCCAAACCCCGTCCAGTCAAATTGCTCCAATTACAAACGTCCGTGATACAAGAAAAGTGTCTAATGATTTCAAGGTATTAGTCGGAGTTCGAAATAACTTGAAATGTAGATGCGCAGTTAGTTGGTATGTATACTTGACTAGCCTAGATGTTCGATACGTGCCGGATCTCAAGCATTCTGATCACCATACAGCTGTTAATACAGGATTTCTTTTTCTAGTTCTTACTCATAGTTCTTTAATGAAATATGGAACTCATGGAATCAATGGTGTTGCTAAGAGAGGGGATTGGGACCAGGCCCGTAGATACAGGGCCCCCCTAAACAAATTTTAAACTATAGATGACTTAAATTACTTGTCGAGTCACTATAGTTGAGCCCCCTTCAAAAAATTTGCCTCCCCCCTGAGACCCTGGGCTAGCTGCGGGCCTGGTTGGGGGTTTGGCCTTGGAGCCCCTTGAAAATTCTGTGGCCCCTACTAGCCTCCCACGTAATGATTCATAGAGACGCCACTACACAGGATCTGTCAACTTGCTGTAGGTTTTCCTTGCAACACGCCGTCACGAATTCAGCAAATGTTGTAAACAAAGCTTCTGAAGAATGAATGAAGCTAGGCCCTATTCTAAGGTCTAAGAGGGGTGGGGAACTTAAATTTAAAACAAAAAACTTAATGAAAAATTTTACATGATATTTTTTAACGCAAACGACCATAATTGTCTTATTCACTCTCATTTAGGAACAATTAGTTGTCTACGGGGGTCAAATATGCCTCCCAGCTAAGGCCCTGGATGACGCTCTGCTTTTTCATTCACTCTGTGCATTTTGACCCCTCCAGGGTTGCGCCCAAGTCGTAAACCTCTCTTTAACTTTTATTGAAAAAAGAATCTAGAAAGAAGTACCGGCGCACGTAGAACCTATTATCATGCCAAAGGTTTTGATAAAATTGGCGACATATTTGTTGATGGTGTAAATTGTTACACCCTGACATTTATTTAGCCAATATTCTCTGAACGTCGATTAAGCAGTGCCAGGGATATACTATTTAATATATTTCACCTGATCTCATTTATACGTTAGCAGGTCGCTGGCATTTTGGCGCCAACAAATATAATACCATCATTGAAAACTTCCCGAAGTATTTCATTTCAAGAGGTTTCTTCTGATATTTTTCTTTCCCTTAAAGGGATACGAAGAGGTTTTCTAGCATTTGTATGTATATCGGATACACTTAACGCTTCACTCCAATTAAACAGGCTGTAACACAGTCGGTTTGAGCCTTAAAATGTGACGTCATTTTCAACAAATGGTTGTCGTGGGTTTTAATCTTTGTCGGCCTGTGAAGTCCGGTGATCTTGAAGAAATCATCTGTCTTTACAATTCCATAATCAAACCAGCTGTAAATGGGTACAGATAATCTAGGAAGATCAATACGAAGAGGGTTGACCTAGGACCAGCTGAAAGAAAGCATCCTCGTGAACCTTTGTTCTATCTGTCTAAAAAGTGCTCTTTCTTTCATTAGCCATGCTCTTAAATTCCACAATTCCAGTAATTTGCGATAGTGACCAATGTGGTTTAGTCTCTTAAACCAAACTTCTTCTGTGCAGACAAAGTTCGATAGAGGCTTAATCTGATCAAGTTTATCTGGAATTACGGGAACTGCAGACATTTTAGATTTAGGCCCAATGTGACCCAAATGGACTTACAAAGGTTACAAAATGGTCCTTGCATCCCGTAAACTCCATTGCGACGCCAGGGGGGGTACAGAGGGACCTAATCCACACCCTTGAAAAATGGTTTGCACTCCCAATTGTAATCACACATTATTTTTAACAAAGTTAAAATCATGATTTTTAGACGTTTTTGCCCCAAAATATATGTCGGAATGCAGCAAATCAATTTGAAAAATTCTTGAGAGACTCCCCTCAGACGCTCCATGAGAAGCTTACTATAAGACGCCTCCACAGAGTTGCTGCATTTTGAAATCAGCCTTGACAAATGTCCCTCGATAGAGTCAGTCTGCCCTCTATTTGTAGGCTACCCCAAGTCTCGAGAGGCTGGCGCCGCCATTGCTTTAACTCCGGATGTGTCTTGCAGAAATAAACCTCGTCATCAACAAGTTGGTCGTGTATATACTAACTAATATATAAACCAACTCACTTCCATTCATGAGAAAAATCTAGGAAATTTCTGAACAAGTCCCTGTGGAGATTTAAGGCAGAACGGAATTTAACATTCTAATGGAATGAAAACAATGCCATTGCGAAACAACACACATATTCTCGAGAGTGATCAGACCTAGTGCTATGGTGTGAACTGACTTGTAAAGGAGTTGCGGTGGATAAAGGTGCGGGCACACGAGCGGTCTTGGTTGGAGACTTTTGTAGTCGATTAGTGTCCGCACCTTCATGCTTAAGGACAGACTGGGAGAATTTCATTCGCTGGTACTTCGGCCGAACTTTTCGCCACCGAATTCATACGACCGACACAGTGGACACACTAGGCGAATGCCCGGAGGTCGCCATTTTATTTGTCATGTGACGCTTCAGGCGTCCGTGATTGGTTGATTTATAGGTAAGTTCGCAATAGACATCGCCAGATTGGACATACTAGCCGAACGTGTTGATGGCGATGAATATTCGCGCGATTAATACTAAACACGCTTGTTGTTGGCGAATGGCTTCTCAGCTTCTTACTCAGGACATACCTTGCGAATTTTCACGGCGAATGGTTCTGGCGAGTCGATCGCCAGCCAACTTCGTCTATTGTCTCCTAGTTAGTTCAGTGCTACGATATTCGCCCGAGCATCGGCCGAAGGCATTCGCCAAATCAAGCGTGTTTGATATATTCGCCACAATATGTAGTCTCTCCTTTAAGGTCGAGGTTTTGAGCATATGTAGAGATATATTGTTTCTTCAGAGTTTTTGCCCCTATTTACCCTTGTCGGTGTTGCAGGTCGAAGGTCGGAAGGACTGGAGAGGATTGGAATAATGGGGAAAAGAGAGCAGAAAGTCACCACATTTAGACATTCAGTGATCGTTGATATAGCCTATAATAAGTATAAACTAAAAGCATTACTACAACCAACTACCATGCAGAATTCCATCGAAGGATATATTACTTGCCCAACCGGATATATTTGTTGCCTCTCAAGATATATTACTTGCCCATCCGGATATATTTGTTGCCTCTCCAGATATATTACTTGCCCAACCGGATATATTTGTTGCCTCTCAAGATATATTACTTTCCCATCCGGATATATTTGTTGCCTCTCAAGATATATTACTTGCCCATCCGGATGTATTTCTTGTCTCTCAAGATATATTACTTGCCCAACCGGATATATTTCTTGCCTCTCAAGATATATTACTTGCCCAACCGGATATATTTCTTGCCTCTCAAGATATATTACTTGCCCAACCGGATATATTTCTTGCCTCTCAAGATATATTACTTGCCCATCCGGATATATTTCTTGCCTCTCAAGATATATTACTTGCCCAACCGGATATATTTCTTGCCTCTCAAGATATATTACTTTCCCAACCGGATATATTACTTGCCTCTCAAAATATATTACTTGCCCAAGCGGATGTATTTCTTGCCTCTCAAGATATATCACTTGCCCAACCGGATATATTTCTTGCCTCTCAAGATATATTACTTGCCCAACCGGATATATTTCTTGAATCTCAAGATATATTACTTGCCCAACCGGATATATTTCTTGCCCAACCGGATATATTACTTGCCCAACCGGATATATTTCTTGCCTCTCAAGATATATTACTTGCCCAACCGGATATATTTCTTGCCTCTCAAGATATATTACTTGCCCAACCGGATATATTTCTTGCCTCTCAAGATACATTACTCGCCCAACCGGATATATTTCTTGCCCAACCGGATATATTTCTTGCCTCTCAAGATATATTACTCGCCCAACCCGATATATTTCTTGCCCAACGGGATATATTTCTTGCCTCTCAAGATATATTACTTGCCCAACCGGATATATTTCTTGCCTCTCAAGATATATTACTTGCCTAGCCGGATATATTTCTTGCCCAACGGGATATATTTCTTGCCTCTCAAGATATATTACTCGCCCAACCGGATACATTTCGTGCCCAACGGGATATATTTCTTGCCTTTCAAGATATATTACTTGCCCAGCCGGATATATTTCTTGCCCAACCGGATATATTTCTTGCCCAACCGGATATATTTCTTGCCTCTCAAGATATATTACTCGCCCAACCCGATATATTTCTTGCCCAACCGGATCTATTTCTTGCCTCTCAAGATATATTACTTGCCCATCCGGACTACCCGGACCTGGCACCGGTATGGCAACTGGAAGACATCAAATTTGAATGAATGATTTAAACACCAACAAATTAAAGCTAAAGGATCAAATTGATATCACAGAGACGACACTGTACATAATTCTATATATTTACATACATATAAAATGTATTTCCACACACTGAGCACGTGCACTTGCCCTGATTGAGACAATAGTATTTGTCCCTGAGGTTATCAATTACCCCCTCCCCCCTGCTGTCCATAAATCTCTGGGAAAGTCCAGATCCGTCAAAAATTGTACAATCATCTCAAGATCTATAAGTTTGACCTCGTGTTTGTCGCCTTCTGCTGGTTGATTTAAAATCAAGGCTTATAATAATAGGTCACTAAAATATTAACCAATCAAATGCTTAGCTACAATAAAAGCCCCATCTACCACAAGTGAGGAATTCTGGGATATTCAATATGAACAGATTGGCCATTGTATAGTGTCTGAATCACAATGTGTTTTTGATTGGTTGATAGGATCAAAATTATCCTGAACAAGACTTAGAGATAAAATTCTTCAGATCTGTGATAAATCTCTTCAGGAAAAACACGATGAACTCGATCTGTATTCTAATCAGGGGCCTTCTAGAAACTTAATTAAGATAATATCCAGAATTTAAGAATTACAGTAGCCTACATGTAATTTGATTGGTTAATAAAGCTAAATTTAAAATTGATTTTTGTGATGAACCAATCAAATGACTAGGCCAGTCAAATTATCCGAAGCCTAGTCTCCGAGAATGAAGCCCCAGCTTTTTGGACTCAATACCGATGTCAACCATTAACAAATCTCCATGCTAGTTGTTTTTTGTTCGATATACGTGGAGGTTTGAATTTATTCCATCTTTGATTTTCCCGCCTTTCCGATTTAGCAGCCGAACAGCATTTATAGAACTCGTTTGGTCTCCTTTCAATACATTGTTTAAATAATAACATGGGCACTGATTTCCCGCGCTGTTTGAGATATATGTCTAGTTTTTTCTCGTATTCTAGTCTAAGACTAAGAACCCCGGATGCCAGTTTATTGTAATGAAGTTCGGCATCACATAAAATTCCACATGCACCAACCGAACTTCCAATTTCACAACAAGGCAACCACGTATCTGAAATAAAAAAAAGGAATGTAAAACGTTACAGTCAGCTTTACAAACAGTCAGGCCCGTAGCTACGGAGGGCAATTCGCGCCCCCCACCTCTTCCCCGAAAAAACAGATTGCCCCCTCCCCTGCAACTAAACACCATGCTCCATTGCCCCTCCGAACAATCAAGTCTGGCTACGAGTCTGCTACGAGTATTTTTGTATATCAAGCCATTCACTGACTCCGTCTGATACCTTGACCTTGACATCATGAGGTTCTTTTCTGGTTCCCGTTTGTGCCAGCCAAGTATATAAATTTAATGGATTACTCCCTTTTAATTTTAGCCATTAACTTAACAGCCTCCGTGAAAGTTAAGCTGGCGCTCTGCAACATATTCAGATTCACCTTTACGGAAACTACCGAGAATTGCCGAATAATTTCAGTCCCCTACCTATCAAGGAATGTTGAGTATCTGAGAAAGGTTGTTGATGATCTAAAATATCGTTTCCACTACCATCAATAATGATATCTTCATCATCACTCGTATCTTTTATACCTGGTCTCCAATTCTTTCTAAGTTGAAAATCTGTAAAAATAGAAGAAATCAAAACAGTGAAGGTGGAAACTTATATTCCTATGCAGCCAAGGCCAAGGGGCGTCTGGGGAATTTTTGTTAAAGGGAGGAGGGGTGTTCAATCCCGCGAAGGCAAAGTAAATTTTGAAAAATTGATCTTGAAATGATGCGTTCTGAAGTGTATCTGAATAAATATGAAATGGTTATTAGAGTAATACATCTAGGCATTCAGCAAAACTGCTCAGTGCCCCATTTACGCCATAGTGCGGACGCTCAATCAAGCACAGTTTCTACAGCAGTTCTCCAATTTCTTAGTTTTACATTTACGGTACAAGATATTCACATCGAATCCATTTTCATCAAATTACTGATCCTGGTGTTGTTTCGCGCTTACGCCACTCTGCGATTGGTTTTGTCAACTAGTCAGCCATTTTGTAGAGCGTCATGAATATATCTCAAATTGTTCGCTTTTATTTGATGTAGACGTATACTGCGCCAAGGGCTGTACTTTTCGGGGAGTCCATTTCGCTCAATTTGCTTTTTTTAGATGGACGAGATGTTTAGTTACTTGAATTGTTTTGCGTTTTATTATTTAATGCATTTTGAGCATGTTTCAGACTTTCGTAATGATATTACAACAACCAATTTTACGATTGACAGTCTCAAAATGTTGTATGTAATGTTTATGTACTATAGCAATGTACTTTACGACCAAATGTTGTTTTTGTAAAAAGAAACTGGAACTTGTATTACTTCTTAGCTCTGAGTTTATTGACCGTAACAGAATTCTAGTGGTGTTTTTATATTCTGGGTTATCTATATCATCTGTTGGTATATATTGGTGGAATACCATATAAAATGAAATGAATAGATTATTACGTTTTACCTTACTGCACCTTATGGGCCAATGAAATGAAATGAATGGAGTTTTACGTCCTACTTTTCTGCACCATGTGAGCTAATAAAGATGGTATGTCTGAATTGCTGCATGTTCCTTTAGCAAACGGTAGTATATTATCAATATATATCAGAGGAGAAATGGGCCAATTGCGAAAAGGAGCCAAAGGAAGAAACTAAAAGGGAATTAGGCCAAGGGAGACAGGGAATATGTTCTAATTTACAGCGTAGTAAGAGGATAATAATAATCAAACAGTAAGTGAGTATGGTGAAGTAGGGAGAAATTGGGCCAAAGGGGAAAGGAACCAAGGAGAAAGTGGAACCAAGGAGAGAATTGGACCAGGGAGAGAATGGGACCAAGCAGAGAATGGGACCAAGGAAAAAGTGGAACCACGGAGAAAATGGTACCAATGAGAAAGTGGAACCAAGGAGAGAATGGGACCAAGGAGAAAGTGGAACCAAGGAGAGAATGGGACCAATGAGAAAGTGGAACCAAGGAGAGAATGGGACCAAGGAGAAAGTGGAACCAAGGAGAGAATGGGACCAAGGAGAGAATGGGACCAAGGAGAAAGTAGAACCAAGGAGAAAGTGGAACCAAGGAGAGAATGGGACCAAGGAGAGAATGGGACCAAGGAGAGAATGGGACCAAGGAGAAAGTGGAACCAAGGAGAAAGTGGAACCAAGGAGAGAATGAGACCAAGGAGAGAATGAGACCAAGGAGAAAGTGGAACCAAGGAGAAAGTGGAACCAAGGAGAGAATGAGACCAAGGAGAGAATGGTACCAAGGAGAGAATGAGACCAAGGAGAGAATGGTACCAAGGAGAGAATGAGACCAAGGAGAGAATGGTACCAAGGAGAGAATGGAACCAAGGAGAAAGAGGAACCAAGGAGATAGTGGAACCAAGGAGAGAATGGGACCAAGGAGAAAATGGAATCAATGAGAAAGTGGAACCAAGGAGAAAATGGGACCAAGGAGAAAGTGTAACCAAGGAGAGAATGGGACCAAGGAGAAAGTGGAACCACGGAGAAAGTGGAACCAAGGAGAGAATGGGACCAAGGAGAAAGTGGAACCAAGGAGAGAATGGGACCAAGGAGAAAGTGAAACCAAGGAGAGAATGGGACCAAGGAGAAAGTGGAACCAAGGAGAGAATGGGACCAAGGAGAAAGTGTTAACAAAGGGACATATACAAATGGTCGTTGTCCTATTTTACAGCATAATAGGACGAATACCAGTGAGTAATTGAGTTAAGTGTCGGAGGGGGCAATGGGACCAAGGGGGAGGGAAAGGAACTAAAAAAAGAGGGGGAGGGGGTAGGGACAAAAGGAATATGCAGCGTGGTAAGAGAAGTGTATTATTCTATCAGTGACAATGTTAACAAAGTGTCGTAGGGAAAACGGGCTCAAGGGGTCAATAAGGTCAACGGTGGGAGGAACTGCGGGGAAGATAGGGCCAAGGGGGCAGTGGTAAATAAAGGCGGTTTGTCGTTATCCTATCTTACAGCGTAGTAAAAGAAATATAGTATTTTAACAGTGATAGCAGTAACCTTGATCTTAGAGATAATTTACTGTTATGATAAATAAACCAATCAGAACAGGCTGTTTATACTCAACTTATTCCGATTGGCTGATAGTATCTGTGTAATCTATCTTGTTGACACATGGTTGTAATAAACCTAAATTGTAATACACGGGGGAATCTTACACATCGACATCTCTCAGTACTGCCAGGTTACTTCATAGTAAAACTCAAAGCAATTCAAAGCGGATTGTAAGGTACTGTATGTGTAAGAGGCAAGCTAATTCCCTCTGTATTATTCCCACTGCTAAGATCAGGAGCGCACTCAGATTTCGGAACACCGGAAGTGGTCATATGGCACTACACCCGACTCTTGTGATCTCTGTAATTCCAGAAAAAATTAACCACGTCATGCCATGACTATCACAATAATACTAGTTGGCTTGCTTGAGCGTGGGTCGCTGGTGGATCAGTGAGTTAGACGCTTACTCGCTAGCCTGAAGGCCCAGGGACCCATACTGGCATAGGTCAGGAAATTACATTCTGATTTTCAACCCAGTTTCCCTATCAGTATGGCCACCCAGGTTTACGTCCGAGGGGGCGAAATATCTTAGATTGCCCTTATTTCTAACCTCGTTATGAGTTTTTGCCCGAAAAACTCTCTTTCGGGACTGCGAGGAAGGGAAAGGGGGGGGGGGGGGGGGGGG